CACAAGACTTTATTTACAAATGTAGACTTGAAAATAAATACAAGAACTATCACAAACGATTACAAACTATTGCGTCAGAAGACCTTGATGACGACATTCTATCGAGTTGCTGAGAGGCACAAAATGCACCACCTTGAGTTTTACAATTCTTACAAATAATAACTCGTTGCACACAACGACTCGACTCGTCGCGGAGTATCAATTGTACGGTGCTCACAAGTAGAACACATGAGATGCGGGCCACCAAATGTCCTGAAAATTTTTTTCTGGTCTCCTGGTACCTAATAATGAAGCCCACTATGCTTAGGTTGATCCAATGAGCCTTAGGGCCCACTATAAAAATCATTTTCTTCTTATCATTACTTCATACAAGTCTTAAAATTGGTCAAAGAATACATTTGAATTTTTTCAGAATTTTCGAAACCAACTATCACTTATTTTCAAAAGTCTCTGAAATTCTTAAGAAAAATGTAAAAATGCATTAAATTTGGGCCTTTAAAAATAGGTGATAGCAGGTCTCGAAAATTCTGAAAAAATTCAAATTTATTCTTTGACTAATTCTAAGACTTGTACATTGTGCAATTTTCCGTTTAATATGTCCTATTACAAGTGAGAAAATCACAAAGATTTTCCAATAAACTAGAAAATGATTTTTAAAATGGGCCCTATGGCCCACTGGATCAAAATAAGCATAGGGGGATTTATTATAAGATACCAGGAGACCAGAAAAAAATTTTCAGGACATTTGGTGACCCGCATCTCATTTGGTCTCATTGTCAGTGATACTACTTAATGCTCTTTGTATAATGTATCTCGTATAAAGAATCAACCAGAATTTAACAGTACGATCGTTCGACACAGAAGTTCGCTCCACCGCGTGATTAATTGATCCTCCCGAACCTTTGCTCTGTTTAACGATATTTAATGATCAGTTCATAGCTTCACTCCACTCAATAATCTGCCGCGAGCCTAATTTTTACCCCGGTAATATACTCATCAATGCATGCATACTTCTTTTTTTTTTTTTTTTTTTTTATATTTATAGTGCTTGCGCCCGTTAGGGCATTGCACTTATCTTAATCTTAATATTAATTAAAAATTACAAAAAATCTTTACAGATGTGCAAATTATAGACAAGTATAACAAGTACAGACAAGTATAACAATAAAGTGTAACAATTCACTAAGCTAAGAAAAGGAAAAACGGTTGGTTCTTGTTATACTTTGATCCCACACTCATCAAAGAAGCTGCAAATGATCTGGCAGGCCCAGATGTTCGGCTGCGCCAGCAAGCTTTCCATGCATATTCTCAGAGGGAGCATAACAGTGTTTTTTCCGAGTTGCAAAATAGCGTACCGTTGGTCACTTGTTGACCCTCGAGTAATGCATGTGCCGTTCTATATACCTCTATTTAAGGCGAGTTCTTCGTGGAACTGGGGTCACTTGGTTACCTTAGTGGCTTACACGAGTCATCTCTCGGTGATAAGGGAGCATGCAAGCGCGCGTGCAACTATGTTTTTTCCCTCATATTCACCAAATTCGTCCACCACGGGTTTTATCTCGTACGCGTGTGATACGCTTTCTCTGTATGCACCTTGCACACATACGCGAGCTTATATATATATATATCTATTACTATATAGTAGAGAGGATGTGGTTCCCTTGCTCCCCAAAATTTCCACCTGCTCCCCCACAATTTTTTCAAAAATGTGAAATTCACGTGATTTTTACATGATTTGCGGTGTTTTTCCCCGTATAAATTATTACTGCTCCCCCACTGCTCCCCAAAAATTCCACTGCTCCCCACTGCTCCCCCACTGCTCCCCCACTGCTCCCCCACTGCTCCCCACTGCTCCTCCACTGCTCCTCCACTGCTCCTCCACCGTAAATCCACCGGATATGTGACAGGTATTTTTATAACAATAACTTATATCACGTATAAAAATACGAAGGTACTTTTATACATACGTACTTTACAATAAACAAAAAAAAAATTTCCAAGAAATCAAAAAAAAATCGTGTCGTGATACGATTAGTCCAGGAGCGGGCTACCTTCCCGTAAGACACTGTAAGTAAATGATTAGAATAAGGTGTTATCGATGGATTTTGACTCGCTGAACCCAAATTTGGTAATTAATGTTGGCTGCAAGTGGTACCATGTGGTTAAGAACCCATTTGTTTAAAAAAATTACTAAAATGGTCGAATATGGATTTTTAAACATCATATTCGTATTCTAAGAAAATTTTTAAGAAAAAGATGTCCCTTGTGATTTTTATCTAAAATGCATATTTATCGTTAGGTAATCCTTAGAAATCTTGAAAAAAAACTACAAGACTTTGCATAGAGATGTCCGAAGAATAATAAAAAGCGCTCACATCATCGAAAATATTGTTTTTCATGTTATTACACGCAATCGAATATCACGAAATTAGCGTTTTTCTCATTTTCATTGGCTTATAACTCGATAAATATGCATTTTAGAGAAAAATCACAAGGAACATTTTTCTCAAAAAATCTTTGGTAGAACACGAACATGATGTTTAAATAAAAAAAATAATGAATATTCGACCATTTTGGTAATTTAATTAAACAAATGGACTTTTGACAATATGGTACCACTCAGAGCTAAAATTAACCACCAAATTCGTGCGTCAAAATTGATCGATAACACCTTATTCTAACCATTCACCTACAGTTTTCTACGGGAAGGTAGCCCGCTCCCGGACTAGATAAATTTAGCCAAAAATGTATTTCCTACAGACTATTTTTTTTTAATTTTTCATCAATAAAATACTTGACCGTTTTATTACTAAAAATATCATTATTTTTTTTATTTAAGTGTTAAACTTAATTGGGGGGTTGGCGAGCGGAGCGAGCAGGGGGGCGGAGCCCTCCTAGTATATATATATATACGGCTTGCTCTAACGCGTAAGCGCATGTTAGCCGCTCACGCTCACACATTCATTCAAACGGTGGCTTGGCCTACGTTCGCCATTGTATGCCTGCCAGTCTCGTGTACATCTCGAGCTGTCCCGCTTTTCTCTCGCAAGTTTATGCGTTTGTCATTGCGTCATACGTGTTCACTTGCCAGTCTATATTGCACCATACTTAATTATTATTTTTATTTTTACAATACTTATTACTAGGTTATTCGTATATAATGGTTGGCATACAGAAGCATTAGAATTGCAAAAAAGGCACAGTAGTCACATCTCACAGGGTTAAACTTGAAATGGACTCAGATAAAGTAAAAGTATTAGACCAAAAATCGAATTGGAAGTGTAGAACACTGTCAGAAATGCTAATACTGGCAAAAATGCAAACACTGACAGAAATGCAGATTTAATAAGATCTACAAAAACATTTTAAATTTTAAATAACCAACATGTATTAATGTAAACATTTTTCATTGTGCCCCATTTAAATATTGTAAACTAGACCAATAGGTATTATGTTAAAACCGGTGCTTGTTATATTCATTGACTTATGGCCTTTTATTTTAATTTTAATTTTTGAACTGTGACGAAGCACAAGTCCGCGAGCTTCGTCGAAAAAACGCGCCTCGAAAATTCGCCCAGTGGGGTGGGGATCGAACCCATGCCGTACGGCACATCCTTGTATCAGTAGGCAAGAACTTTACCCATTGAGCCAAGGAGGCCAATTGCTTTCAAAGACGCGTCGCATGCACTGGTAATGGTGGTTATGAGCCTCGTTGCCATTTCTTCTGTAGGCCCGGGTAGAACCGTGGCAATGGCCATTATGACTGAGAGGCACTCTGTGTCAAGGGTGGGCGCGTTCTACTTGCAGCTTTGAAGCGTCGTGGGTCTAGGCAGTCTGGCGGTCTCTATCTCAAACACGATGGCTTGATGGTCCAACCTTTACCGGTCCACCTGTGCAGTGGACCATCATGCAGAACAGCTAAACCAGGTAAGACATCCCCACTCCGTTGATCAGGCGTTCAAGTCGCCCTCGATGATGAGCCGCCTCTTACCCCAGGCTTCTTCGGTGATGTTGGTGAGAAGAGCGGAAAGTTGTACATCACCGAGTCTTGGTGGTGCATCGACGCTGAAAAAGTGGATTCTGCTGATACGGGCCCAGGTAAAAAAAGGACGCACTATTGCTGGGTGCTCCTGCACCATGCTGCATTCCTGCACCCAGATGGCGGCTTGGCTGTTGGCATCGGCAAGCCATGTATAGGGTGGATCTAAGTTCTTGTGCTGATCACACACTATGACCACGTTGATACGCTGCTTACGAATGGTTTGCGTACGCTTTTCGTAGAGTTCTGACTACTTCCTTGTTGAGGCCGAGGGCGCCCGGCGACGTGCCCAGCGCTTCTGCGATCTCCTCCTTGGTTGCACACTTATCAAGATTCCTGATCTTTTTTGCGTTTTTTATTGTTTCAATGGAAAGCTGAGGTTATGTTAAATAAAATACAGTTTTTTTAAAAGTTTAATATTCATAATTTCTATGAGAGATACAAACAAAGTCGATGCTCGGCCGTCCAGCCGCGCGGATGCGTGACTCTTAAACTTTGCGTGGCTCTCTGTAATCGCAACTCACACGTATGACAATTAAATTCAACTAGAAAAAGGTATAAAAACATGTTTTTATGAGTTTTTTTTTCTCAGCTTTCTTGTCCGTTTTTTCGATCATGAATTTCTAATATACAGGAATCCCATTTAGAGACTCGAATTCTAGTGAAACCTCAGAGCCCACGATATCTATAAAATCACTGGCTCAGATTTTAAACACAGGTCAGAGCTCAATTGATAAGGCTCTATCGGCAAATCAAATCGTTACTCGTAGCCTAATGTTTCAACATGAGTGTGAAGTAGCGACGTCAGCTTACAGAGTATTATACACAGACTTTTTGCGAAAAGCTAAACTAAAACGTATATTTGACTTTTTTGTAAATCAATAAATTTCAATTTGATTTGATAAATTTCATCGTAATTTTTATTTAATATACTAAAAATTTTTTCTCTTTGAACCCAACCCCCAATTCCCATATAACATGGCTCCCAGTATACGCGGATTTTCTATACACAGTATTTTTCCTGAAAGAATTATCCGCAGTATCATTATTACTTACAATTAATTTCGACAGAGTATAAAGAATGTACATTCGTTAAAATGCACGCTAAAAAGTTTTGCAAAACCAATTTTATAATAGAAACCAATTAAAATCATTTGATTGGGAAGATTCATTTCAATAGAAATCTGTTAGAAAATCTCGTATTACTTTGCTATTTCTAATTAATATTTTATTACTTACGCTTCTGTCCGTTATTGGTGGCAACACGACAGTTTTTTCCAAAATTGTCATAACAATCTTCCACAATTCTTTGAGTAACCGCTTCAGAACAGTTTTTTCGCAAGATTCAGCATACAAAGTCAAACTACCGTCTAAAAGATTCATCAGCGGAGCAAGAACTACATCAGCTTCTCCAGTAACTGATTGATTCTGTTGATTAGCGAGCTTAGATGACAATAATAAATCTCCTAATTCTCTGACAGATATTGTTATCCGTATTTCTAAGCTTTTTGCAAATAGTGTTGCAAGATCGTCCAAGGCATTATTCAATTGCGATTGTAGTTCTTTTAAAATGTTAGCAGCATCAACCTCTAAATTTTCCCCTCCCATTGACTCGAACATTTTTTCTAATTGGACTCGGAGCTGTTGTATATTATTCATAAGAATGCAAGCCTGTAAAGAATCTCGTTTAAAATTTTGCCTAACATATTGTCACTGAATGATATTAGTATACAAACTTACAACTCTTTCATCTTCCATGTGGCTAGGAAACTCTTTTTTTACAATATCCGCATAAGAAATAAGTACCTTTACGATGGTCTTAGCAAATCTTTTCATGTATCTTTTCCATATTTCAGGATCCGGGCATTCTAATTTTGAAACAACATCAAAACATTGAGTTAACTGAGTGAAAACGTCAACTACTGAAACGCTGAAAAGAGCATGCTCGCTGCTTCTCTGAAACTGGAAAACAATTATAATATATTATTTTTTGATTCTCATTTCTTATATCCTTTTATATAAGATTATTGTTCAATGTTATTCGTATGGAAAGTCATAGACTTTGATAATATGTAGTAAAGTTTCAATGAATCAGGACAAGCTTTTAGATGTAAAAATAGTTAGTAGCTTATTGGAAATGGTGAAACAAGGTAAATCATAAGGTACGTGTGCAATTTGGAGAAGCTCCAAATTCTTGTGCGCAGTCGTTATTCGTTCTTTCGGGACAATTAACTCATAAGAGATTTTTTTGAAAAAAGTCAGGCCCCAACTACATGATGTTGAGAGCTTTGATGTCACAAACTTTTCCTGCAAGGCTGAAAATAACAGCGAAGGATTCACACATCAAAATTACTCCTGATCGATAATCATACCCATTAATTTAAGCTATTATTTCTTTATTTAATACAATTGAACCCCTCTAATTCAGATCGCTTTCATTCCTAAATAAAACTCTGTATTTCATAAATTTTGAAAAAAATGTTCGAACCCTTACAGAAAATACATGTAAATTTACCCCTCAATTCATAATTATCTTTATAATAATTCGTTGAACGCACGACAACAGTGTGACACAGCGTATAGCTTGTAATGCGCGACTCAAGCAAGATGAAGGTCAAATCGTTCGTCGCTGGACGGCAAGCAAGAGCTGCGTATTTCAAACTGTTCTCCACAATATATTGCGACGGGGCGGAATTGGGGGAGGCAATTACCCCTGCTCGTTCCTTCGTTGTCTATTTTATTTACGGGGCAAGCTCGAGGACTTATTGTCGTACCTCATACAAAGGGGGGGTCTGGGCCGTCGCCAATCGAGTCGCGAGCGCTGACTCGCGTCACCAACTTGCCGTCAGATGTCGCTACCTCAAAGAACGGGTTTCGGGTTCAACTGAAAGTTCAAAATTTGAAATGATAACGACAATGATTTTCCTGTTAATTACTCCTATTCAATTTATTCAGAAGAATCGGTCGATTTTGGTCGCGCAGGGCCTGTGGTATGCTCTCTGCAGCAATCAATCAATTAGCTCCGCTCCGCTGTTCCGCAAACGCTATCGTGACCAGGACTTAATGCCGCACTTGAGTACTACTTATTGTGTGATCGCTCGTCGTGCAAATATTTACCACACGTGCGCTGCGGCACAGCTCAACTCGCACACGTATACGGCGATGCTCGCCAATACGCGCAGGCGAGTCTTGATGCCCCGCACGGAACACATGATGGCCGATGCCACGCAGGTGGCGATGAAAGCGAGAAGTGGCGCCGATCCACCACACACGCGACGAGTCGAACGGAGCCGGTGCACGCGTATGCGACGATACACGCCAACACACGATACGCGTGAGCAAGAGCAAGATGACGTCTAGCGACGCGACTCAATACAGCACATCGCACTACGCAGTTGTCGCGAACATTACACACCGACCGTCCCTACGGAGACAATTACTCATGCGAATGCGGTCAAATAAATCTCTCTTAGAAATAGGTGGCGAAAAAAATCTCTCTTTCAAAGAAGCCGTCAAGAAAATCTCTCTAAAAATCTGCTATCAAAAAAATCTCTTCAAAAAAATATAAAAAATACTAAAAATAAGCAAAAAAATTTTAAAAAATTGAAAAAAAAAATTGGGACGGTCGACACAATCACGCAGATATACACATACGCAACCGGCCAAACTACTTGTCAATCAATAATTTTCTTAAAATTACTTGACGATGCTCTTCGTTTTTCGAGCTCTCGGTGAACGGCAGCTTCAAGCCTCCGCAACAGCAACGATGATCTTGCACTTAACCTTGCTGTTGGCCTTGACGCTATGTCTCTCCCACTATTTTCTCGCACGAAAGCCTCAGACGAACGAGCACTAGTTCACGTGGCGATGCATGCGGTTTTCATTTGCACTTGCAAATAAAGTGCAACGCCGGCTCTCGTAGCAAACGATTGCACGACGAACTCACTGCACGGAAACTGCTTATTACTCTCAGACACTCTCAAACTGCACTCATAATTATACTTTCTTTGCTTTTGGCCGCAAATTAACCTTTTCGTTTTCGCGTTTTGCACGATCACTTCGCTCGAGACGAGGGATCGATGGTTACTCCCTGTTTCGCGTCTGCTCCGCTGGCTCGGCACGTGCCTGCTGGCGCTCGCGTGATTGCAGCAGGGGGCCTACTTTTGCACACCATCGCATTGTTGTTGCATCATGCTGCTGACTCGAAATAATTTTCGTTATCGATCCTGGTCTCGGCTCTGCTGCTCAGCTGTACTATTTTTTGGCATGAAAATACCTACTTAATATACATTGTACTCGCTTGACCAGCGCGGTATCTCATCATCATTACGCTTTTCACGTATAGCGCGAGTGAGGGTTGCCTATCCGTAGGCGATGACTGTGACCCCCGTTACAATATAATTCTTTTAAATAGTCATTTCCTTTTGTAAATTCTAGCTTCTATTCATTTATTTATTTATAGCATAACAACAAAAATTTTATTTAAAAAACGTTAAATCTATACTCAAAGATGCCTTGTTTACGTGGTTACTAAAATTTGTGTGCGCTCGCTCTATTATATCGAAAATAAACTCAGACCACCTAACGACCAAGATTACGCATATTTCTCCTTTGTATTGTGTCTTATCCAGTCGTTTGTCCAGTAAGTAGGGTCGTTAAGACACTAGCTTATTAAGCCAACGCTGTTGCTAAGGGGGCAAGTTCAATCCCTACTAGGGAAATATCATTCGTGATTTTTCGCTCGGTGAGATCAAAATTGTACTCTAGGTGGTTCGGATTCCACTATAAACAGAGGGATGTTGCTGAGTATTCAGCCTTTCGGAGACAGATGTAGACCCAATCACGGCGCAGCGCTGGAAGATCAAGACTATATGATCAGGTGAACCTACCCACAAGATTGAACTAGAAGCGAGATTTTATACTCACAAGACGATACTATTCAACGAGTTCTTAGTTTTTCCACTCTTTTTCTAAAGTTTTTCACTCTGGAATATTACAATTGAGGTCCGAGTCACCATAGAACCCTTGTTGATGAAACAAGCCCACAGTCCTGAGAGGTACACCTGTAGTGATGAGTGATCGCGTTCCAAAACCATTGTAAAAAATCGAAAACGAAAATGTGGCAGCCGAAGATATTGCTTTTTAGTACTCGCAAGTTACTAGAGAGACAATGAATTTTTAGTGTTGGTCCCCAATTTGTAGTGATGAGTAATGAAACTAAATTATTGAACAGCTGTTATTGAATTTATTGAGATCTTCTCTCTGTGACTGTCGCAACCAAACTGAGGCTCATACAAAATCTCTCTAGATATCCCAATCAACAAAACAAAACGTAATTATTGAACAATCACAGCTCATCAAAAATATATATGTGCGAGCGCTCTGAAGTGCGTCGCCACACACCTGTGCCGTAGGATCCGGCAAGAACCGATTATACATGGGGGATCAGTCATAGGGGTGTCATTTTGTTCAGTAGATGTGTGATTACAAACGCAAGCACTTTCAGATATTTTAATCAATTATACACAATTTGACAGCCATGTATACACTTTTATTCATTAGTATAATATGATAAAATGACAGGTTACGCAATAATGTAATCTGAAAAAGTACTCATTTGTCCCAATTCCTTTCACGTTCCCCCAAGCCATGTTCATGTAAAACAATCCCTGAAAATCTCAGCTCTTTTGCTCAAAGGGTTCACATGTAAAGATACGGCAACAGAGCAATTTTAAGATGTAATATAACTTCCCCAGGGTTGAAAAAACCAAAAATACCACAATTTATGTATTAATAATATATTTATGTCTCTGAGACTGTTTGAAAATTTTTGAGTAATAGAAAAGCAGCAATTCAATATACTATTCAATATACTACTACAATATACTATGAGCAAAAAGAAAATATGTATGAAAAAATGGCTCTATAGTATACTAAAAGAATGAAATCGTGGCAAGATTTCCCATCTCATCTATTTGGTAACAATACATTTTGTTGATATCGCATGTAACCCATAAAGTCCACCCTTTAGAAACATCCATTGGAAAGTCTCTACGCGCCCGTTCGAGTCATGTGTGCCCCTTGGCTCTGCAGGTCCGTCCTAGGGCGTAGAGACTTTTTAATGCATGTTCCTAGAGGATATAAGAAAGGGAGATACAGGGATTCACACTCACTCACACCAAGAAACAAACACTCAATATTAAGATAGTTCCCTCAAAACCTGACCTACAAATTCGGGTATATGTCTAGAAAAAATCTGAAAAAATTCATACGCTTTCCTTGACAAATTCCAAGACTTTTTTGTTGTTTTTAAATTTTTCGTAGAGTTCTAACTTATTGAAATAAAAAATCGTAAAGATTCATTGCTTGATAAAATGGTTTAAATTTGAATTTTTTATAGCTAGTGAAAAATAGATTTTAGAGAAAATTTGCAAGAGCACTTTTTTGTTTAAAATGACCCTAAAAGCCTGAAAATGGATTTCAGGTCAAAAAGCTTAAATTTTTATTTTTGCAATATTTTTACATTAACTTTTCTCAAAAACTATATCGTCAAGTTTTTCCAGTTTTTGAGCTATGTTTCAGTACATACTGAACAATCATCTCCTAGTTTTTGAAAAGATATTATCGATGTGTTTTTTTATAGTCACAAAAAATTGCGTCTTTTCGACACGTAGCATATGAAAAGCACTGTCAATAATATGTGGTTAAAATTTCAAGACCCTTTATCGATAGTCATTTTTTTTACGGAACTATCTTAATAATAAAGACTACCAGGTTTATTCTAATACAATAAACATTATACACGGCCTCAGAGAGTACCCGAATACCCGGTCGACGGCAGATGCAACGATCGTAGCACTGGTGGGCGCGTCGGCTCGTACTAATAACAATCTACTGGCTCTCTCTCGTGCACTCGGGTCGACTCGTGCCGGCCCTTGCACCTTTCACTCGAGCGACTTAGG